CCCATGTAAGTTGTTACTCCATGTCATTGTTGCTTTTAGGTGTTACAATAGATACCTTGAATATCCGACTTCACACTTTAGTTGTGGGGCTAGGACAACTTTTTGCAATGTATATATATATATATATATATATATATATATATATATATATATATATATATATATATATGTATGTATATATATATATATATATATATATGTATGTATATATTATATTGGAAAGCCAGTTAGTTTATGGTTTTAATATTTTTTTTTTTCTATGATAAATATGATAGTTTCATAAATGTTAATTACACAATCTCCTTTATTGTGTTACAGCACAACATTTGCTTGTGAAAATTTGGACCTATTTTAGAAGTCATTCATTTACAGTTGTGTGTATTTCAAACAAGAAAATGAATGCATAAATTGATATCTGGGTTTGATTTCTTGACAGCACCTAACAGAAGCAAGCCTGGAACGTGTATTAGAATACAGCATAGTAACCTGTGATGAGATCAGTGATTCTACTGAACCATCATGTCCTCACTTCCGACCAGTATCAGACGTGGAACTGCTCCATCAACTAGCCGAAACTGCATCCTGTTTTGCACAAAAGGATGCCACTGTGTCTAATATATTTGACCTATGTGTTGCACTCTGGGGAAGGTTGGATTTCTACTCTCCTGAATCTGGTGAGTGAGAAAGGGGTGTCGTATTATGATGTAAAGAATGTCATATAAATATAATTCATAGTCAGTTAGATTTTTTTGGCAGATGAGTTTGCATGCCATTCATTATCCATCTGTTTTGTATGCCTCTGTGGTGTGGTATATAGATGCTTGTGCACATGATTGAGTTGATTGGGTTTCATGAACATTGTGTCATAAAATTACTTTCTGAAGAATGTCATAATAGGGTGTATAGCATGATCTTTTCCGTCTTTGTTTTTTCTTTGGATTAATTGATTGTGTGGGTATTTCTGCATGTGATGGAAAAATGTCAGTATTTCTGCATGTGATGGAAAAATGTCATTCTCCATTTTTGCCCCTCAGATGGTGAAAGTGAATATGCCATTTCACGAGCTAGAGTGGAGTCGCTCAGCCTGTGGTTGGAGGCTGTTAGCAATGCAGCTGTTCAGGAGGAAGTGGAAGTTGCTCTCAATGACGAAAAGAATGAAGAAAGCTACTTAGATGCAGTTTTTGCCCACCTAACAGCTCGGCAAATTTCTGAAGCTTGTGTCCTTGCTCAGGATAAAGGTATGGCTAAAGTTTCTTTATTGTTTTCTCACTTCCTTGAAGTATCTTTTGTAGATTGTCTTTCTTTTTTGTAATTGTTCTTGTAAATTTATTAATATCTTATTCTTATTTTTATCCTTTTTCAACAGGTGATCATCATCTAGCCCTTTTGTTAGCCCAAACCTGCTTTGGTCAGGATGCTCCAAGAGAAATCCTAGCACAGCAACTTGCTAATTGGGCAGAGGGTGGCACTGATGCCCTTATGGCACCACCACGTCTCTCCCTCTATGCGCTTCTGGCAGCTGCACCAACACATCAGGCATCTCACACTACTGTCAACACCTGCCAAGGACTTGACTGGAGACGAGCTCTTGGCCTACACCTGTGGTAAGTGTATTGAATAATTAGTTATGATAGATTAAAAGTTGTCTATTCTGTCCTACTCTCTCTCTCCTCTCCTCTCCTCTCCTTCTCTCCTCTCCTCTCCTCTCCTCTCCTCTCCTCTCCTCTCCTCTCCTCTCCTCTCCTCTCCTCCTATCCTCTCTCCTCTCTCTCCTCCTATCCTCTCTCCTCTCCTCTCCTCTCCTCTCCTCTCCTCCTCTCTCCTCTCCTCTCCTCTCTCTCTCTCCTCCTCTCTCCTCTCTCGTCCTCTCCTCCTCTCTCCTCTCTCCTCTCCTCTCTCCCTCTCCTCTCCTCTCTCTCTCTCTCCTCTCCTCTCCTCTCCTCTCTCCTCTCTCTCTTTCCTCTCTCCTCTCCCTCCTCTCTCTCCTCTCCTCTCCTCTCTCTCCCTCCTCTCCTCCTCTCCTCTCCTCTCCTCCTCTCTCCTCTCTCTCCTCCCTCTCTCCTCTCCTCTCCTTTCCTCTCTCCTCTCCTCTCCTCTCTTCCTCTCCTCTCCTCTCCTCTCCTCTCCTCTCCTCTCCTCTCCTCTCCTCTCCTCTCCTCTCTCTCTCTCCTCTCCTCTCCTCTCCTCTCCTCTCCTCTCCTCTCCTCTCCTCTCTCTCTCTCCTCCTCTCCTCTCTCCTCTCTCCTCTCCTTTCTCTCCTCCTTCTCTCTCTCTCTCTCTTCTCCTCTCCTTCCTACTCTTCTCTCCCTCTCCCTCTCCCTCTCCCTCTCCTCTCCTCTCTCATAAATGCATAGGAAACTTAATTTGCATTAGAATCCTCCCACTTGTAATAGACTGCCATGATCTTTACCCCAAAAGTATATATATATATCCAGGTACGTATGTCCAGCCACAGCAACAATAGCAGAAGCACTACAAGAGTACGAACAAGCCGCTGGTTTAAAGGGTGATTCTCCAAGTTATTGTGATCTGCCTTTACCGCCTTACATGATGAATCAAGCGTTACCTGATCAAATGAAAGGTCAGTATTGTGGGAAAGTAATACTATATCAGGAAGTCTGGTTTGTGAAATGGGAATGTGTCTGATGGTAATTTAGATTAGTGGTAATGGAATAAGAAAGTAATTGTTTGGAAAGAGATGAGAGGGAATAGCTTTAAATGACTAATATATGGATGTTATCTCATTCAAATAAATGTGAGAATATTGCCTTTGATTAATTATTTTTATTAGTCATTGCAAAAGCTTTTAGTCTGAGGTCTCAGTAATGTAGCTTTGTCTTTTATTTTTGCATTGTACATTATATGTAGTCTTGAAGATTAATTGTTCAATAATTGAAAATTACTCAGTGACGTAGTGCATATAAATGAAATTTCCATGTCAGAAATTCATTATAAGTTAAAAAGGTGTCTTCTTTGTTATATACTTACATTAACATACCGTTACAGTGAGCTACGATGTCTGTTACCACCTTTTGAAGCTGTTCACTGATCCAATGCATCAGCTAGAGGTTCTTCTTAATCCAGCAACTATAACACCTGACCCTGTTGATGTATCAGTAAGGTGAGATCTTATGATCGTTTTTATGGGGACTCCCTAATTAAACATTTATCAAGTATCTTCTCTACCTCATTCTCAGTTCTTTATACATCTTATGTTTATGTTTACATCATATGTTTTATGTTTTTGAATGCTAACTGTGTAGAAATTATTCTAGAATGTTAAAGGGTTTCTTGTGACTTCTTTCTTCTGTTAATATCTGTCTCTCTTGTGACTTTTGACTATTTTGTATTCCAGCTGGCTCTTGTGGCGTGTCCTAGAGAGTCTGGGCTACTCTCATCTTTCCCAGCAAGTCAGTGCCAATTTGCATCTGAGCATGGCAGCTCTTCTAGAGTCAGTAGGAAACTGGCACTGGGCAGTCTTTGTTTTAATGAACATTAATGATGAAGAGAGGTTAGTAATTTCATATACATGTTTTATAAGTCTTTGAGATTGATGTTTGATGTAGAAGGGATTTTTAAAATACTTTCCAGTGTTGATACTGGAAGTGTTTCATATCTTGTCTAATGGTGATGGAATATAAAATAAGCTTAGTTCATATTTTTTATCTTAACTTTTTTTGACCTTTGATGATCCAGTGATTATAAAACCAGAACTGCAAATAAAGATTGTGGCCAACATTCCAGACGGAGTAGAGAGGTCCAGGAATTGCTCAGACGACATGTAGCTGTTGGAGAAGAGGAAGAGTCAGATCCCAAATACAGCATGAGGGAGAGATTTGTGCTTGAGAAGTTGCGCGTACCCCAAAAGTGGCTACATCAAGCTAAAGCCACCAAAGCTCGGACATTAGACATGTAAGGACCTCCAGTAGATGTTTTTGGTTTCTCATGATATAATGTTTATGGTGTTTAATTGTAGATACCATATAGGTCCATCAGTTTGATCTTTTATGTGTTTCTTATATGATGTATGTGGAAGATATATATTTTGAAATACAAAATTTAATATTTCACTAACTCAAATGAAATTCACAGGGTTGATGAGGAAGCTTGGTACCTTCTGAAGGCAGGCGAATACAACCGAGCACATGTACTTATTGTTGATACCATTGCTCCTAATTCAATCATAAATGGTATGGTTTGGTGTAGTATGATATTCTGCATATTGGGTGATTGATATTTAATGTTTGATATATAGAATATTTATGTCAAAGGATTTTAGAACACAATTTATTCATGTGTCAATATACGTACACACTTTCAGTGGATACTTGCAAGATGTCAAAATTCTTTGAAATTAGGAAATTAGGGTACTGAATTCTTGTTTAATCCCAAATTCATTAATTCAGATATGTTTACTGTGTTCTCAAACTACGACTCATTTGCAGAGGATCACGAATACCTACATGGATACCTAGACCAGCTTTGTGATGATGGAGTTCGTAATAGTGTAGTGGATTGGGCTATTGGAGGCGGCGTTTATGCCGACTACCTCGATGTTTGTTCGGTAGTAGAAGACATGAAGAAGTCTGCAGATCCAACACCTGCCAAGCTTGAACAGTTGCGGCCACGTCTGCTTGCATTGTGCTCCAGACTTAACAACCTCAAATGCCACACTGCCACACACAGGTTGGTGGATTTTATTACATTTGTCATGGATTTTAAGTGGACCATAGCATTGGGAATGCATTTACATAAGTAGGCAGTGCATTTTCAACGTTTTTTTTTTTTTTTTTTTTTTTTTTTTTTTTTTTTTTTTTTTTAAGATTTGAAAATGATGGTTAGAAAAATGAAAAAAATGGGGGGAGTTTTCCAATTTATAGTATCAGTTTCTCATGAATGATAGATTATTAAAATGATTACACAATTCTGCTAACCGTTGTTAAATAATGAGGCATTATGAAGTAGTCAAAGAAAACTGTATAAAGTGTAAACAAATTAAT